ATATATATATATATATATATATATATATATATAGAGAGAGAGAGAGAGAGAGAGAGAGAGAGATTTAGGGGAAACCTCCAAAAAAAGAAAAATTGATAAACATATTAATAACCATTCATCATTTGAACGGTATGCACATATGCATACAAGTAATTGATGTTGTTTTTTGGTTTTTATGCACATGTACATCTTATGCATATATGCGTACCAGACAAATTGCTTATAAACTATTTGTATGCACATGTGCATATCATCCAAAAGAACGGTTATCAGGGTGTCCCATAGTCTTTTTTATACGGTTTTTCCCTGAACCTAACCATATATATATATATATATATATATGTGTGTGTGTGTGTGTGTGTGTGTGTGTGTGTGTGTGTGTGTCTTTAGATTTCCGTGTGAATGTTAAATTGATTTATAATCTTGGTTGTAATTGTAAATGATTTATGTGTAAGTTATGATTAAAGTTCACATGTGAATCTATGTTAGAATTCACATGTTAACATTTGAATCAATATACATATCATCATCACTTATTAGTGGTTTGTTGGGTTCTTTTGAATTTGGTTACATTCCAAACGATCAATGAACAACAATTTTCATGTTCATATATGAGATTTACTTCCTTTTTGTTAGTAGCTTAATGTCCTTAATAAGACTCACATCTTATTCGGTTAACTATACATGACTGTTTAATAATAGCTTAATGATATAGAATGTGGCTTATTCAGTAATCTTATAAGAGAGCTTTATGCAGAAAGCCAGTTTTTTCCAACATTCCCTCATAATTAAAAGACATGCTCCTTTCATCAGTAAAAGACTCTCACAAACTAAAACTTTCCCAATCTATACTAACATATTAATGCACACATACATATTTATACATAAAAACTTAATGCAAAACCAGCCAACAACTCCTTAGAAATGAGATTTAACTCTATCTGTAAATCGTAAAATCGACAATACTTTCGTTGTGGTTAAAAAATCGATGATTATCAACATATGCGGATAAAGTTATAGAAAAATAAAAGCTAAATAGATATTTATATTTTCAATAATTATTTTAATTAGTGAGAACAGTCTTGAAAATCAAAATTTTAGTTTAGTGGTTGAGATTGCTTCTCCTATTCTCATCATGTTTGTGTTTCTTATTTGAACCTAATACAATATATATATATAGAGAGAGAGAAAGTAAGATCTTTTGTTAACCAAAAATATACTGTTAATTTCGTAAACTTATTGGATCAATAATATTAATTATTTAGTAGAGGTTACTTTAAATATTTGATTTAATGATGAAGGGCAAATGGATAATTTTTATGTAGAAGTTACTTTTATGGTATTTAATGATGTTACAATTTTTTATGTGTAATTTACTTTAATGATATTCAATAATATTCATAGGTGATTCATAAGAATATGTTCATAACATGATGTATTCATAAGAATGTTCTCATATGTGTTCATAGGTGTTCATATGAATGTATGCATAACCATAAAGTGTTTATAAAATTGTGTTCATAACCATATAGCGTTTATAGGTGTTTAATAAGAGTTAATGAATATAATCACATTGTCCATAAGTGAACTCATGTTCATACGGAGGGAGATGCCCATGTGTATATTAATGTCCATAATAATGGAGATTTTTTTTATTAATGACAATAGATTAATGTTCATATGAATATTAATATCATTAATGGGCAGTTACAAACTTGATGATTTTTTTTCCCCAGTAATATCCTTGTTCATGTATGTTCGTCTTAGATAATAATGTATTATATTATTAGTTATTATAAAATTGTCATCATAATTGCCATCCATTGATTCATAAGATATATGGTTGTGATGGGTTTACAAAGTTAATACCATAAATTGGGTTAACAAAAAAACTTACCCCTATATATATAGAGGCTTAGCTTCAAGTTCAGGGAAAATCTGTAAAACAATGAAAAACTAACAAACACCTTCATAACCATTTATCTGGATGGTATATACATGTGCATACAAGTAATTTCTAAACAATTAGTTTGGTGTGCACAAGTTCATGACATACAAACATGCATAAAAAACCAAGAAACACCTCCAATTTCTTGAATAAACATGTGCATATCATACATTTGTAAGATTATTAGGATGTTCCTCAAATTTTCTTTTTCTAAGAGTTTTCCCCTAAACCTTCCTATATATATGTGTGTATATATATATATATATATATATATATAGAGAGAGAGAGAGAGAGAGAGAGAGAGAGATTTAGAGAGCCAGATTCATACGAGAAGTAACCAAATAAAAGAATAAGAAAATGGTCGAACCATATGTGATTTTACACTGTGTGGGCAACGTGTCTCATGACCTCAGTCGCAACCTAAGTTGTGTGAACCACATGTGACTAAAATCACATGTGATTCACACAATTTAGGCTGTGACCGAGGTCATGGGACACGTCGTCCGCACACCTTTGTGTTGATCGTTAGTGTAAAATCACATGTGATTTTGCATATGGCTCGACCATTTTTTTATTTAGTTTTTGTCCATGTTTGAGAGAGAGAGAGAGAGAAGAGATCCACAAAGAGGTTGAGAATCGTAAGAACCAGTAATAATATTTCCCAATGTGTATTTTTTTCATATTGTGAAACAATACTGAATTTTCATGTTAATTGTTTATGAATATGAAATAGCACATAGAATATGAAATAACACATGACTACTGATTCTTATATATTATTCTTTTATTTTATGGTTTTCATTTGATTATTCCAATATATAAGGGGCTAATTATTTAAGAACTCATATAATTACGAGAATCATGAGAACATAACATCATTTGCTATTTCATGTTTTCCATCTAAAACTAAGATTTTGGGTATTTGTAACATATATTTGTTTACAATGTTTTTACGTAATTTTTTTTTCATGGTGTAAACCAAATACTCATAAAGCAAACACATCGTCAAAGAAATATATGTTAATCAATACCTTAAATAATAATTTTAGATGATAAAAATCATATGAAACAATACCTAAAAATAAAAATCTCGAAAATATATGAGATTCCCATTTAATTATGCCCCATATTATATATTATCAAATATTATGCACTGCATATTAATGTATTATCACTTTAAGTTCATATATACTATAATTATTGAATGCATACAACTTATTGAATTTAATTAAAAGTCTATAAAGCTAACAAATTTTACCCGGTAAGTAAAATAACAAATGCAATGACCGAGAATCTTATCCGGTAATTGATGGCGACGACTCTCACCACGGTTAGCGTTTACCGGGTAAATTATTACATACAATGTCGTTTTGGTGAACTCAAATCTTACCCGGTAAGTAAAGTAAACGATAGTTTTGGATTTTACCGGTAAACGCTTACCGGGTAAGTGTTCAAGTAAACGGCCCCTTACTTTATCTCAACTATAACTTATTATAGTTCTTCTTATTTCTTATACCTACGGGTATCCGAACTAAGTTACATATCCCTAGAAAAAAGTTTACTCGATACAAAGATTATTTAAGTGAATTCACTTAAACGAGTTTCTACTTTCTGCAACGATCCGGTTGTAGGTCGACTAGAATGAACGGTTGAGTAGTTTAATTTGACAAATTAAGAATCTATAACTTGATTGCGTCGGTTTGAATCAGTTTAATATCTGAATTAATATATCAACTTGATCGATTCATTTCTTATTGCAAGAGATAAGGTTATACTAATAAAAACAAACAAACAATGAACATTTGGCAAAAAACTGGATTGAAACAAATTTAATATAATGGTCGCTCTCCATAGATATGTTCATTTGTTATTTTACTTGATCGAGATTCGGTTCGTACATCATTATCTGGAGATATACATGAAGACCTTTCTGGCATGGCCATGACATCGATAGATGTAGGTGATGGTATTGGTAGCCACCTTCACATTCTCAACATCCAAGAGACTCCTGAACCAGGGGCGGAGCCTATAGGGCCATTGGGGGCTGCCCATGCGATCTTTTTATCTCCGAGCACTACAACAAAATTGAGTTTATAGGACACCTCCAATCTCTAAGTGTCCCAATATACCGCTTTATATATAGGACTTAATTTATAGGACAAAAATATAAAATGTGTGTTGTAATAAGTTTATATAATGCTTTTGGACGTCTTAACAAGTTTTTTAGGACATTTTTATATAAGTTATCGCATTAGCAACTTTATAGGACATTTTTGAGAAAGTATATATCCTATAAACTTTTTTTTATAGGACACTTGTTTTTATAGGACACTTGTTTTTATAGAACAAATTTTCAAATAGTGTCCTATAAAGTTGCTAATAGGACGCTTTATATTAAAAGTGTCCTAAAAAACTTATTACGACGTCAAAAAATGTCATATAAACTTCTTACAACGCCTTTAGATAGGACACCTAAATTTTTTTGGTCCTATAAACTAAGTCCTATAAAGAGTTTCCTATAAACCTGATTTTGTTGTAGCGTCTGTAATAACCAAATGAAATGACAACTTGATCAATGGACGTTACTTAATTACTACCCATGGAACAAGGTTTTTACCCATTTACAAGGTTTTCGTATCATCAATCTTAGCATATTCTTTTATAATACATTTTTTCTTTTGAAAAAAGTCTTTGTAGTGATACTAAAATACCCAATTGACCTTTAGAAAATTGTTTACGTGGCCATGAAATGAAGGTTTTGTTTGGATCCACAACTTATTGGTGTAGATGACTTTCATAATAAGTATGCTCACGAAAGCACATAGATTTTGCCATTTTTAGAGGATCAAGAACATCTTAAAATACTACTTTTCAAACCAATCGAGTGTTTCCTAGCTAACAACATATATATGTTACCTATTTAAACAACTATCATTCGATGCTTCTATCAACCCTCATTCCATATCAACTCACTTCCATTCTCCATGGCAACGACCATAAGCTACTTGCTTCGTCGTGAAGATATGAGTTGGTGGGCAGTTACTCACCCATTAATTCTTCAAGCTTCCAACTTGAACGTCACTTTTGTATTTTTCTACGTTGTAATAGCATTTTCAGCCTTTGGGATTGTGGCATGGACTTTATCATGTCACGGAGGTCCGGCATGGAAAAATGGCCGCAACCGTGTAGGTTGTGTTTCCATTCCAAGCCCCACGGGGCTTCCCATCTTTGGCAGTTTGCTGAGTTTGGTTCATGGCTTGCCTCATCGAACCCTTGCGTCCATGGCACGAACTAGCCAAGCAGCCACCCAACTCATGGCTATCAGCATAGGGAACACCGCTACTGTGGTTGCCTCGGACCCACAAACTGCTCGTGAAATCTTGACCTCCCAGCACTTTGCTAACCGTCCCATCAAGCAATCGGCTAAGCTACTCTTGTTGAACAGGGCTATTGGGTTTGCACCCGATGGACCCTACTGGAGGCAATTGAGAAAAATTGCTTCATCTCATCTCTTAGCTCCCAAGCACATTTTTGCACACGAACCTACACGCCGGCTAGAGTGCACCTCCATGTTAAATGGCATTGCGAAAGAACAGTCCTTGAATGGGTTTGTTGTACTAAGAAAGCACTTGCAAACTGCTTCTTTGAACAACATAATGGAAATTGTTTTTGGCAAAAGCTACAATAAAGCTGGGGATGTTGATGAATCTATGGAACTTCAGGAGATGGTGACAGAAGGGTTTGAGCTCCTGGGAGCTTTTAACTGGTCTGATCACTTGCCGTGGTTGAAGTACTTTTATGACCCGCTTTGCATCAACCATCGGTGCAAGGCTCTTGTCCCTCGAGTCAAGATTTTTGTCCAAAAGATCATCAATGAACACAAACTCAGAGGCTCGGTTGATCTCCATGAGGGTTCCGACTTCGTTGATGTTTTGCTCTCTTTAGATGGCGAAGAGAAGCTCAGTGAGGATGATATGGTGGCCATCCTATGGGTTAGTATCATCCTTATTCTTTTTAGATTGCTCTTATCCATTGGAACCATACACACGTAAAAGCAAATTGTCCCTTTATAACATATTTTCTCATGCATATAGTATTAATTTTTATATGGGGATTCTACTATTATGTTTACGATTCCAAATATAAATTCATGAGTAACAAAATACTATTTTGCCCTAATTCGTGGGTATCAAAATCCGCATTTCTTACCACGCCGGTTACGGTGGGGAGGAAAATCACAACGTTCCAGAAACGGGATGATGTTTGAATTCGAACCCAAAACATATAAGTGATTATTAAGTATGAATTCAGACATCTTTAGCTGGGACTTATCCAATTAAGTCTGTGAATCTAGTAGTTTTGATTTTGGGACTCATTTCTTTTTGTTTCTAGTTGACTTTTATAAGACAGATTAATGTTGGTTTTACAAATTATTGTTGTTCTTTCCACATGGGAAGGTACAAAAACACTGAAAAATACGTAGGTCCCCACGTACACGTGTGCTTCAATTTATGTTTCAAATGTATAACGTGGACCTTACTACTAAAATAATTAATAAAAAACCAATTTCAAGATCTTTCTTACCGACCAAATATAAGGATTTTTAAGATAAGATTAAATTATTACCAACTACAATAGGTTATCATTTTTAATTGAAATTATGTAGGAAATGGTATTTCGAGGCACTGATACGATTGCTCTTCTAACCGAGTGGGTGATGGCTGAATTGGTGCTGAATAAAGGCATTCAATCCAAGCTCCGAATTGAACTTGACAACGTTATGGGAGACAAGAGTGTCAATGATGCTGAAATGGCTAAACTTCCCTACCTTCAAGCTGTAATCAAAGAGGCCCTTCGTCTCCATCCACCTGGTCCTCTCCTATCATGGGCTCGTCTTTCTACATCTGACGTCCATCTCACCAATGGCATGGTCATTCCATCAAACACTACTGCCATGGTCAACATGTGGGCCATCACACACAATTCCGATGTATGGGACAACCCTTTTGCGTTTGAGCCTGAGAGGTTCTTATTGTCTGCAGGTGGTTCTAAGGTAGACATAAGAGGCAGGGACCTTAGGCTTGCACCATTTGGAGCAGGTCGTAGGGTTTGCCCTGGAATGAACTTGGGTATGGTTACGGTTAGCCGGTGGGTGGCTATGTTGGTGAACCGTTTTGACTGGGTTCAAGACATGGCTCGTCCTGTTGACCTAACTGAAGTGCTGAAGCTCTCTTGCGAAATGAAGGAACCTCTATATGCAAAAGTTGTTTCAAGGAATGATCATGTTTCCTCAATGATGTAAGCTTTTGGAGTGGGTTCTCGTATGGTATAATATGGATATGGTGAAGTACTCTCATTTCATCCTCAAGGGGTAAATAAGGAATCAAATAAAGAATTGAGAGGGCAAAGGTGTTGTTCTTTGTTAAAGTGAAAAGTGACATTTCTCTTTTATGTATCATGTATGTCGATATTAAAGTTACTCCTTGTACTTGCAAAAAGTTTGTGTGTTTTTATCATAACTTGTAATATTTATAAAGTATTATAGTGGAGTTTCTATTGCTTGGAAGGCTATTGACTTGTATCCCTAGATATTGAACTCGATAATTGTTTCCAATCTGACCTATACGTTGGAGTCTCATGTCGGCTAGACATGAAACATAAAACTTTATATGTTGGAATATTTCTTCTCTCTGTAAGGGATTCTACATGTAAAAACCTCGCATCTCTCTATAAGCGATTCCACATATTGTCATACATTGCTACAAATCTTTCACTGAAAAAATATATAGTAAATTACACCCAAGGACATTTAAGTGACAGAAACACCCATCAATAATACGTCACTAGTCAAAGACCTTCCAGCCTAGTGGTAAAGGCTTGGGCATGGCATAGTCATGAACCTGAGTTCGAGCCCTGGGAGGGGAGTGTTGACGACATTTAAGTGAGACCATGTTTAGCCTCCAAATTTGCTGGGGATTAGTCGGGCTTTGGCCCGGACACCCTTACAAAAAAAATAATAATACGTCACTAGAATGATTTCATACTTCTAAAGAAAAACTGAAAGCACACGCTTTATCAACAGTTCACCATCAGATCATATGTGGATTTTCGACATAACAAATAGCAGATCGATATCGACAGTATAGCTAACCAAGGGTTTACCGGTATAAATGGTCATTAATGGATTACTGACAAATTAGTCTACTAAAGATGAAGGATTTAGGACAAATAACAAAATTCTTGGCCTTGAAATCAGCTGCGATAGAAGACCAAGAATGTTGAAGCTTACACAAGGAGAATAAATTCAAAAGGTATTGGAACCCTTTAACGTGACAATGCAAAAGTTGTCACATTCAAATGCCATTGCATATCAATATCTTGAGGAGGATTGTCCAAGTATGATGAAGCTAGGATGGAAATTTCACCAATCTCCTATGCAAGCACCACTAGAAGTCTTATGTATGCCATGGTGCTCACACATCTAGGTCTTGCTCATTCAGTAGGTATGGTAAGTCAGTATATATGTCAAACTCGGATAAGCCACACTAAAAGCAATCAAGACTTTTCTTAGGTAACCGAAAGGTACCTCAAATTAAGGCCTCTTATTTGGAGGAAAGAACGTGGATTGTGGACTAAGAGGTTATTGTTATTCAGACTATGTTAGATTGGTCAACGTATTTATGTGTTCCTTGGATCTCCCCTGTCATGGTCTTCTAAGACATATATAAATTGGTCAATTGATTTTAGTTATCTCTTAACATTTTCTAATTATTGAAGTGTAAGTCATATCCTTGTGTAAATCTTCTTTTACTTAGTGAATTGGACATCTTTTAAGCATGGCTCATCCAAGATGTAGTATGATACGTCAAACAACAATACCAATTTCTCAGTGCATTGTGGTTGTTGTTTTCTGAATTATGTTGTTAATGAGGATCTACAAATTAATAGATTACAAATATCAATAATACTATAAGAAAAAGACATATATAATCCAGTAAATCATCCAAGATGGGTTTTTGCAAGATTAACTTTGTGCCATACGATGTTCATTCACAACTAGATTGGTCGACGGTTTTTATGTGTTCCTTGGATCTCCCCCCGCCCTTCATGGTTTTCTAAAACATAAATTGTGGATCAAGTTCAACAAAAGTAGAACATTGTGCTATTTAGTATGTGAACCATAAGGTACTTCTTTAGCATGTCTACAAAATGTTTTTGGAGTAGGGGTTTCTTTATCTCTTACTCTTCATGTTGACAAAATTATTTATATTCTCCCACAATTCTTTGTTTCAATTTAAAAGAAAACACATCAATGTCGCTTGTCGTTTTAAGAGAAAAAGTGCACGCCCTACACTTAAACTAATTCCTAGCTATCTAAAGTGTTTGTACTAGAGGCCTCAATAAACACATCTATTGAACTTTTCTTCACAAGTTGGGAGTTGGTACGTAGTATTTCACCCATAGAATTGAAGAATAAACAAAAAAGATGCCAATTGAAGGACACAAGCTATTGAAAGGCTAAGCTAAGAAGCATAAAGAAGTACATTTTTACGTGATTCAATTTTATGTTTAGATATGTTTAATTAAAACATAAAATTATTCCTTTAGATAAAATTAGATTTGCGGCTTTTCTTTTTTTCACTACAACAAGATTGAGTTTATAGGACACTACCAATTTCTAAGCGTCCTAATAGACCTCTTTATAGAACTTAGTTTATAGGACCAAAAAAATAAAGTGTCCTATCTAATGGTGTCGTAATAAGTTTATATGACGTTTTTTGACGTCGTAATAAGTTTTTTAGGACACTTTTAATATAAAGCGTCACATTAGCAACTTTATAGGACACTATTTGAAAAATTGTCCTATAGAAACAAATGTCCTATAAAATATTGATTTTATAGGACACTTTTGAGAAAGTGTCCTATAAAGTTGCTAATGCGACACTTTGTATTAAAAATGTCCTAAAAAACTTGTTAAGATACCCAAAAGCGTCATATAAACTTATTACAACACCTTTAGATATGACATTTTATTTTTTTGGTCCTATAAACTAAGTCCTATAAAGAGGTCTATTAGAACGCTTAAAATTGGGAGTGTCCTGTAAACTCGATTTTGTTGTAGTGTTTTAAAGGCAAGAAACAGAATTTATTAAACAAAAACCTAGCAAGACGCTAGATCACATAACGTCCGAAAAACATAAACGAGGATTACAACACCAATTTTCCCGGCTAATATCTTTCCCCACATTGACTCTATTTTTAACCCACAGAAAAAAGTAGTATTGGACCTCGTTAACAGCTTCCCGCGAAGCCTGAATCTAGCCATTGAAGATTTTATCCTTTTTTACTCCTCCAAATCACCCAACAGGCCGCAATACATATCACAGGCAACAACTGTTTTGACCATTTCTTATAAACCGGGTTTACAATCATCTTAGATTTTTGTATATATGTAAATCTAGAGGATAATTTTCTTTGATAATAAACACATTCATTTGCCTCTTCATCGAAGTATTAACAATTCCATTATTCATTTGCTCATATTTTCTTCACTTCAATCTAATTTTGGTTTTTAGTTAGTTAATGTTTGTTCATGATGATTGTATATTTTTCATGGTTTTTTTAATCAGTATTGTTTAATTTTGTTTTTATTGAGGAAGATGGTTTTTTATCTTGTTTTAGAAGATGAACATCAACAAGATAGATACATTTTTGTTTTGATACCATAACCACTTCAATCAATAAAGAAAAACACACTTCGCACTACACCAAATGTTGTCTTAGACAACAAATGTAAATTGCCTATGTTGCTTAAGATACGTTAAGACAACAAAGGCTATTATATGTTGTCTAAGTTTCCTCTAATGCAACATATGGTTCTATGTTGCCTAAGTGTGACCTTAGGTAACATATAATAAATCTATGTTGCCTGCATGTATCCTAGGCAACATATTAGCCTATGTTGCCTTAGTTCAATGTTGAACACTCATATTTTTTTTGAAATCCGTCAAAATTTACTTAGTCAACATATATTCTTATACTGTGTTGCCTAAGGTAAAAAAAACATAAATCCAACAAAGTTTACTTAGGTAACATATATTCCTATTTATATGTTGCCTAAGGTAAAAATTATAAATTCAACCCAATTTACTTAGACATTATATTATTGTTTCCAAGGTGACAATTGGCATTGTACAAAAGATTTATTATAATTTACTTAGGCAACATATTCTATTGTTTCTATGTTGCCTAAGCTTAAAAACATAATAACTTCTGGTAGTTGAAGGTTTTAAGATTGTCATAAGTTTTAAGGTTGACAACTGGCATTGTATGATAAATCCATCACATTTACTTAGGCAACATATAATCTATTGTGTTTGTTGTTTTAGATCTGTCGTAGACAATATATATTCTTGTTTCTATGTTGCCTAAGATGAAAATCAGCTATAAATATTTGTAGTTCCCCCATTTCCAACATCTAATCTTCATTTCCAACATTTTGTTTCTAAGGTCTTGGGACGCGATTTGGAGTATATTGGCGAGTTTTGTCTTCCAACAAACGTTGTATTCATCATCAAAAGCCATTTAAAGATTATTAGGTAATTATTATCGTATTTTGTCTAATTTTGTAGTTATTTCATGTTTATCTCATGTAAATTTGGATTACTACATGTCTAAAAATATCTATAGCTCTTACTATATGCATGCATTTATTTTTCACATATATATATGACAGAAAATGTGAACAAAAGTTGGATGAATTTAAAAAGAGTCGAGAAAAAATACATTTTTGGAATATATGCATTTTTGGAATTTGCTAAAAAGAATTCATTGAGTTGGAATGGTTATTATAAATGCCCCTGCATAGATTGTAGCAACATGTTATTTCAAAATGAGGCGGATATAATTTTTCATTTGAAAGATGTTGGTATAATGAAAAATTATATTGTGTGGGATCAACATGGTGAAGTTACAAATATACCTACTGCATCACATCGAAGGTTGAATATAATACGCGATCGAGCGTCTTCGAGTCACATGTTCGAGGTATGGGTAGCTTGGCGGTTCAACCCGCGAGGATGAGAGGACCGGCGAAGGGATTCTCTAAGCCGGTATCTGCAGTTGACGAGGAAGATTTGCGGCAACAACTTGCTGAGCATGATGAGGAGATTCGCTTGTTAAAAGAGGGACAACATGAGGCAAAAAAGGAAGCTGCCGAGCAAAGAAAGATGATACAATCATTGATGACTATGTTGGGTGCTAGTGATTCAAACTCTAACACAACAACCCCGACCTCTCATGTTTTAGGTTAAGTTTTTAATTTTGTGTTATTGAACTTGTTGCCTACTTTTAGACTTATTTAGGAAAAAAAATTATCTTTCAATTATTGAACTTATTAATTTTGTTCGTTCGGTTATAAAAGTTTTGTATACAACATTTGGTTGTTTGTTTGCTTGTTTGAGATTCATTTGTAGAAAGTGTGCAAGAAAATAATTGCATCATGGTACACAAAAATTTTAGGCTACAATTAAACAATATAAATGTTGCCTAAAAGAAATATTAT